GTCCTGGGAGCACTGGGGACACTGGGTGCACTGGGGACGCCTGGTGGTGCTGGTGGTGTCTCCAGGTCCTGGGTGCACTGGAGTCACTGGGTGCACTGGGAACGCCTGGTGGTGCTGGTGGTGCTGCGTGTCTCCAGGTCCTGGGAGCACTGGGGACACTGGGTGCACTGGGGACGCCTGGTGGTGCTGGTGGTGTCTCCAGGTCCTGGGTGCACTGGAGTCACTGGGTGCACTGGGAACGCCTGGTGGTGCTGGTGGTGCTGCGTGTCTCCAGGTCCTGGGAGCACTGGGGACACTGGGTGCACTGGGGACGCCTGGTGGTGCTGGTGGTGTCTCCAGGTCCTGGGTGCACTGGGGACACTGGGTGCTGGGGTTTCTGCTGGTGCTGGGTGTCTCTATGTCCTGGGTGCTGGGGGTGCTGGGGACACTGGGGAGCACTGGCAGTACTGGGGAGCAATGGGAGCACTGGGAAGCACTGTGGAGCACTGAGGCAGAGCTGGGGAACAATGGGAGTGGGTGCTGGGAGCACTGGGGATGCTGGGTGCACCAGGGACACCTGGCGGTGCTGATGGTGCTGCGTGTCTCCAGGTCCTGGGAGTACTGGGGACACTGGGTGCACTGGGGACGCCTGGTGGTGCTGCGTGTCTCCAGGTCCTGGGAGTACTGGGGACACTGGGTGCACTGGGGACGCCTGGTGGTGCTGCGTGTCTCCAGGTCCTGGGAGTACTGGGGACACTGGGTGCACTGGGGACGCCTGGTGGTGCTGCGTGTCTCCAGGTCCTGGGAGTACTGGGGACACTGGGTGCACTGGGGACGCCTGGTGGTGCTGCGTGTCTCCAGGTCCTGGGAGTACTGGGGACACTGGGTGCACTGGGGACGCCTGGTGGTGCTGCGTGTCTCCAGGTCCTGGGAGTACTGGGGACACTGGGTGCACTGGGGACGCCTGGTGGTGCTGCGTGTCTCCAGGTCCTGGGAGTACTGGGGACACTGGGTGCACTGGGGACGCCTGGTGGTGCTGCGTGTCTCCAGGTCCTGGGAGTACTGGGGACACTGGGTGCACTGGGGACGCCTGGTGGTGCTGCGTGTCTCCAGGTCCTGGGAGTACTGGGGACACTGGGTGCACTGGGGACGCCTGGTGGTGCTGCGTGTCTCCAGGTCCTGGGAGTACTGGGGACACTGGGTGCACTGGGGACGCCTGGTGGTGCTGCGTGTCTCCAGGTCCTGGGAGTACTGGGGACACTGGGTGCACTGGGGACGCCTGGTGGTGCTGCGTGTCTCCAGGTCCTGGGAGTACTGGGGACACTGGGTGCACTGGGGACGCCTGGTGGTGCTGCGTGTCTCCAGGTCCTGGGAGTACTGGGGACACTGGGTGCACTGGGGACGCCTGGTGGTGCTGCGTGTCTCCAGGTCCTGGGAGTACTGGGGACACTGGGTGCACTGGGGACGCCTGGTGGTGCTGCGTGTCTCCAGGTCCTGGGAGTACTGGGGACACTGGGTGCACTGGGGACGCCTGGTGGTGCTGCGTGTCTCCAGGTCCTGGGAGTACTGGGGACACTGGGTGCACTGGGGACGCCTGGTGGTGCTGCGTGTCTCCAGGTCCTGGGAGTACTGGGGACACTGGGTGCACTGGGGACGCCTGGTGGTGCTGCGTGTCTCCAGGTCCTGGGAGTACTGGGGACACTGGGTGCACTGGGGACGCCTGGTGGTGCTGCGTGTCTCCAGGTCCTGGGAGTACTGGGGACACTGGGTGCACTGGGGACGCCTGGTGGTGCTGCGTGTCTCCAGGTCCTGGGAGTACTGGGGACACTGGGTGCACTGGGGACGCCTGGTGGTGCTGCGTGTCTCCAGGTCCTGGGAGTACTGGGGACACTGGGTGCACTGGGGACGCCTGGTGGTGCTGCGTGTCTCCAGGTCCTGGGAGTACTGGGGACACTGGGTGCACTGGGGACGCCTGGTGGTGCTGCGTGTCTCCAGGTCCTGGGAGTACTGGGGACACTGGGTGCACTGGGGACGCCTGGTGGTGCTGCGTGTCTCCAGGTCCTGGGAGTACTGGGGACACTGGGTGCACTGGGGACGCCTGGTGGTGCTGCGTGTCTCCAGGTCCTGGGAGTACTGGGGACACTGGGTGCACTGGGGACGCCTGGTGGTGCTGCGTGTCTCCAGGTCCTGGGAGTACTGGGGACACTGGGTGCACTGGGGACGCCTGGTGGTGCTGCGTGTCTCCAGGTCCTGGGAGTACTGGGGACACTGGGTGCACTGGGGACGCCTGGTGGTGCTGCGTGTCTCCAGGTCCTGGGAGTACTGGGGACACTGGGTGCACTGGGGACGCCTGGTGGTGCTGCGTGTCTCCAGGTCCTGGGAGTACTGGGGACACTGGGTGCACTGGGGACGCCTGGTGGTGCTGCGTGTCTCCAGGTCCTGGGAGTACTGGGGACACTGGGTGCACTGGGGACGCCTGGTGGTGCTGCGTGTCTCCAGGTCCTGGGAGTACTGGGGACACTGGGTGCACTGGGGACGCCTGGTGGTGCTGCGTGTCTCCAGGTCCTGGGAGTACTGGGGACACTGGGTTCACTGGGGACACCTGGTGCTGCTGCATGTCTCCAGGTCCTGGGGGTACTGGGAATACTGGGTGATGGGGATGCTCGTGTTGCTGGGTGCACTGGATGCTGGTGGTACTGCATGTCTCCAGGTCGCGTGTGCTGGGGATATTGGGTGCACTGGGGACACTGGGTGTCTCCAGGTCCTGGAGGTACTGGGGACACTGGGTGCACTGGGGACGCCTGGTGGTGCTGCGTGTCTCCAGGTCCTGCGTGCACTGGGGACACTGGGTGCACTGGGGACGCCTGGTGGTGCTGCGTGTCTCCAGGTCCTGCGTGCACTGGGGACACTGGGTGCACTGGGGACGCCTGGTGGTGCTGCGTGTCTCCAGGTCCTGCGTGCACTGGGGACACTGGGTGCACTGGGGACGCCTGGTGGTGCTGCGTGTCTCCAGGTCCTGCGTGCACTGGGGACACTGGGTGCACTGGGGACGCCTGGTGGTGCTGCGTGTCTCCAGGTCCTGCGTGCACTGGGGACACTGGGTGCACTGGGGACGCCTGGTGGTGCTGCGTGTCTCCAGGTCCTGCGTGCACTGGGGACACTGGGTGCACTGGGGACGCCTGGTGGTGCTGCGTGTCTCCAGGTCCTGCGTGCACTGGGGACACTGGGTGCACTGGGGACCCCTGGTGGTGCTGGTGGTGCTGGGTGTCTCCATGGCCCGAGTGATGGAAGTGCTGGGGACACTGGGGAGCAGTGGCAGTACTGGTGGGCACTGGGAGCACTGGGAAGAACTGGGCAGCACTGAGGCAGAGCTGGGGAACACTGGGAGGGGGTGCTGGGAGCACTGGGGAGACTGGGGAGCACTGGACGGCAGCAGTGGAGGTCAATGGGAGCACTGGGGGGAGCCAGGGAACTGCCCTAGGAGCTCTGGGGCCAAACTGGGAGCAGTGGGAGGGAGCAGTGGGTGGGAGCAGTGAGGGGGCACTGGGAGCGCTGGGGAGGGCACTGGGAGCACTGGGCACCCCATTATGTCTCCCAGTCGCCCCCCAGTTGCGGCTCAGGGGTGTGTTGGGGGTCCCCAGTTTCCCCCGCTCCTCCCCCAGCCGGGCGGGTTTGATTGACAGCTGCCTTTTATTGGGGGAGGGGGGATGCGGGAGGGGAGGGGTGTCGTCAGGTACTGGGTGCTGGGGGTACTGGGGACACTGGGTGCACTGGGAACTGGGTGGTGCTGGTGGTGCTGCGTGTCTCCAGGTCCTGGG